GAGATATGTGTAGCTGGATGTGTGCTCCAATGTGTTGTTGTTCAGTGTGAATTTGTACCTGTTTCCCTGAGGTCTGGCTTTCTTCTGGAAAACCATAACTCTGGTCTTGTCCAGATTGACTGTCAGTGCCCAGGTCTGACAGTCCTGCTCCAGCAGTGCCAGGTTCTGCTGCAGCCCCTGTTCTGTGGGGAACAGCAGGACCAGGTCATCTGCGTAGAGCAGGAACTTGATTTCTGTGTGGTGTAGTGTGAGAGCAGGAGCTGCAGACTGCTCCAACATTCCTGCTAATTTGTTGATTATAGATATTGAACAGTGTTGGGCTCAGGCTGCAGCCCTGTCTCTCTGTGTCTCTGACAGTGGGATGGGTCTCTCTCTCTCTCTCTCTCTCTCTCTCTCTCTCTCTCTCTCTCTCAGTCGTGCACATTGAGGGCTCTCTGGGTCAGGTCGCTGTCTCCACCTGCTTCTCTCCCCGACGAGCGATCGATGCCGTCCACGCACACACCTCGGAGGAGGTGAGCTCGCCTGTGTGTGTGTCTAGACTGGGGGGGTCCTGTGCGTATCTGGAGTGACCTCTCGTCCCCCTGCAGGAGCAGAAGGACACTCGTCAACAGCGCCTCTCTGTCCTGCACTCCATCGAGCAGGTGGGTCTGCAGCTCTGGGGGGTTCAGGGGTCTCTGGGGGTCTCTGCTCCTGACTGTGTGGATCCTCAGATGTACATGATGCTGCTGGAGGTAGAGGAGGGGGAGAGGAAGGCGGCTCTCTTCTCCGAGGAGGAGAGACAGAGGCTGAGGGACAAGAGGACACTCCGGGTCCAGAAGATCTGTGGGAGGCTGCAGCGCCCCCTGTCGGTGTGAGTGTGGTACTGCGCCGCAGCCCGCCCGCGAGCCCGGACCCGCTGCCAGCGGCTGACGGGCTCGCTCCGGTCCGGTCCGGTCCGGTCCTGTCCACAGGGAGTCCCGGGACGAGTTCCTGCCCTACCTGCTCGTCGCCAAGGGCAAGCGACTGGTGGCCAGACTCCTCCCCTTCCTGTCCCATGAGTCTGCGCTGCAGATACTGACCGCCGTGACCACACACCTTCCTGTGTTGATGGCCCGCGACACCCCTGGAGTGGATGAGGTGCAGTGTCCAGTCAGTGTGTGTGTGTATTAACCCCTCTCTCTCTCAGTGCAGTGTTCATGTACTGGAGTGTCCAGTCAGTGTGTCTGTATTAACCCCTCTCTCTCTCAGTG